GTTTATCAGACTTCCGCTGCATATATGCTCATCCTACATTGGTTGATCTTTGGTTCTGCCCATACTCATTGAAGTATGCAACAGTTTTGGTGTCGGAGCAGACCAATAACGGATCTGCTCACCAGGTAAGTCCGTTTMGAATTAGATTATTTTGTTTGATCTTCTAAATCGGCGCTGAATTATTATCGAGATTAAAGTTGCAAATTTTCTTTTTTCGGTATTCTGGTTATTTCGGCATTTCCGTTTCAATTCAGTATTCGGACTTTTATTCGGATTTCTGTTGTACACCGGTATGCTGTTTAATTAGGGTCCGAGAAATTGATACTAATCCGACATGCTGTTTGATTGGATTTCTAATTAGGAATTCGTAAGTAGGGTTGAATCAGTATCATGTTTGAAATTCGGTTTTTCTGACTTCCATTCAGCATTCCGTTTTTCGGCATTCTGTTGTAAATCCTATATTACGTTTTCTTTTGGGGATTTCCGTTGTCTTTCAGTATTGGAAATTAGGGTTACGAAATCTTTGGTTTTTTTTATCAACTTGGGGAAATTCGAACGTTTTGGGACTGTAAATCCGGAAATTTCGCGGAAAAGCGGAAAATTAGGGTTGGGACCGAAATTTTTGCGAAAATTTTCTTCGTTCCCCTTGTTTGAGAAATTCCGAAAACAGGTTTAGGCTCTTAAAAATCGGATTTTGACGGTGGAAATTCCCGAAAATTCGCGTTTTTGAAAATTTCAGCGTTTTTCCTTCTGAAATTGTTCGAATTTTTTTTTAGCACACTAAGCCGTATCTGACCCTCAAACTGCAACTTCCGGGTAGTTCACTCATTAACGGTGAACTCCCGGACTCAAGTGATCTCAAAGAGACCTAATCATAACACCTTTCAAATTCGTTATTATCATGATTGCAATGATTGGTTATTGATTTCTCTTTTTTGCAAATATTGATTATTGGTTATCTTTTGGATTATCATTAAGAATTATTATTTTGTTATTTATCATTAATTAATTTTACTGATTAAATCGTTATTAAATTCTTATTACGAATTTTGGAGTGATTTACGAAAAATTTATTTTTCTGTTTGATTAGGTGTCTACAGTCCATCAGTGGGACAGGGGATTATATGTATATTGCTTGATTGTTGTACCCCTGTTCCCACTCTCCGTACCCCCCCTGTAATCTGTGAACACCGACACCTCTCAAGTACCGCATCAGTTCAGACTGATGTCGATGGAACAGGACACCGGGGCACTGCCACGGCGCAGTGCCAGGATCGCAGTTCGTGCCCGCCCTGCGGTACCTCCAAGACCCAAGAAATTCAGTAGACGGACAACTCCAGCGGCATCAAGTACGGCATTGACAGTACAAGACACCACCGGAGATTTTCCCGCGTGCCCGGTCCGAGAGGCCAGCGAGCCTTTGGCTGACTATCGTGGGCGGCTACAGGCATTTACAGACGCCGTAGCCGCCGCCGAGGCTCAGCAGGCTGCGGCAGAGGCAGAATGTCAGCGGCTGGCCAATGAGGCGGCAGCCGAAGCTCAG